AAAGATTTTTCAAATGATGTTTTTCGTCCCTGCCAGTTATTAAAATGTCATCTAAGAAAATTGCGACGTTCTCCATCCCCGCAAAAATGTTATCTATGATTCTTTGAAAAATGCCTGGGCTAGAAGCTACCCCATACGGTAATCTATTTATTTGAAATAACCCTTTATGCGTATTTAGAACTGTGACTGCTTTACTATCGTCCGCCAGTTCTATCTGCGCATAGGCCTGAGACAAATCTATTTTACTAAAAAATTTACCATTATTCAATTTAGCAAACAAGTGTTCAATTTTTGGAATGGGGTACTTATCAACATATAAATTTCCGTTTAAAGTTATTTTATAATCCCCGCAGATCCTAACATCCCCCGATTTTTTTAAAACAGGAACGATGGGGGTAGCCCAATCGCTAAATTCCACTGGTGATAAGATTTCAAGTTTTACTAAGTTATTTAGCTCAATTTCTACTTTCTCTTTTAGAGCCAGCGCCAAATTTCGAGCTTTACAAAATTTAGGAATGGCATTTTCTTTCAAATGTAGGGATGCCTTCCCCTTTACAAACTTGCCCAATCCCGGCCTAAATACCTCCGGAATTTTTTTTTTAAGATCATTTATTGTTTCAGAAACTTCTACATGATTTATTTGATTCGAATTTAATAATTTATCTATGGAAATTCCTAAATTATAAATCCAATTCCTACCCATTATGGGTGGACCTCCATTTTTAACAATAAATAATTTCAGTTTAGAAAAAACATCGTCATACTTTACCATTACGTCAATATACCCTAAATTTTTCAAAACATCGCCGGCATAAGATTTTAAGCTTAGAAAAGATTTATTTATAGGTAAGTTTTTGAAGTTTTTATGAAAGTAATTCTCTGAAATAGCTGAAATAGGGGAGCCTGTATCAACTTCCATACAAATCAATTTATTTTCAACCCTTAAATTTATTTGCAACGGTTTATCCTGGTTATGGGTTATGTTAAAAAAATTTAGCTCGGAATCAGAGTCAAAATCACTATTTTCGCAAGAAACTTGATTCTCTGTGCCAACAAACTTATTATATTTTACAGCTTGCTTACCGTTATTATTGCCTGAATTACAGATTCTGGGAATATGCCCTCTTTTTCCACAAGAATTGCAGGTAGCGTCTTTGAAAAAACATGAATGGCTGTCATGGTTAGTTCTTCCGCAATGGCGGCATTTACTTCCTCCTGGTTTGTGTTGGGATTGCTTCCATGGCTCGTTTCTTGTGGGTGTGCCCGAGTTGTTTGGATTCCCTGTTTTTCTGGATTTAGACAGGTGCTGAAGATTAGTTGGTGTGATGAGACCCGCATTTATTTCCGCGGCTTCAATGTTGATGGCAATCTCGTAGGCTTTTTTAAATGTTAATTTTTGTTCTTGAAATAGTCGCTGTCGGACGTTTTCGTTCGCAAGTCCAAAAACCAATTGATCTCGCAGCTGAGTTTCCAAATTGTTTCCAAAATTGCAATCTTTAGATAATTTTTTTAAAGATGCAACGTAAAATGAGATTGATTCTCCATCATTTTGCCGTCTTTGTCGAAATTTGTACCTTTCGGCAATTTCGGAGGGAGTGGGCTGTAAATGATCTCTTACCAGCTTTTCTAATGTCTCAAAAGACTGGTCCTCTGGCTTATCTGGACTGCACAAGTCGACCATAAGCTCAAATGTTTCATCACCAACTGCGGTAATTAATATAGCCGCCTTCAAAGTATCTTTAATTTCATTCACCTTGAAGTACTGCTTCATCCGCGTAATATAAGAACTCCAGTTTCCCTCACGAACGTTGAAAATGTCCAACTTCCCAATTGACATTTTAAAACTTGTATTCTGTTATTTAATTAATTTATTACCGACCGCGCCAGTGTAATAATTAAGGATTTAGGAGAAATATATTCAATGTTTTATATATAGGACTATTTATTTCGAGGTTCAAAGCTGAAGTGCTCTCTTTATTTTATTTGGTTTGATGACCAGAAATTTACAATATAAAAAGTATCGGAATGTTGCCTGTTTACATTTCGCTATACACTGCCTAATAATAACTAGGTAGGTACCTATATGTTATACACTGCCTTTACTACATAAGTTAATGTCGATTATGCTTGATTGCTGAAAAAGCCCAGAGGCAAATTGAGGTAGTACCTATTTCAAACTTATACCCTATATTTTATTGCCGCATTTCTCAAGAAACTTTAATAAAGACATCCAAATGAGCTAATTAGTATAAATAAGGAATAGGTAAGTAATTGGTGAGTATGCATAAAGTGTAGTTCATATACATGCGAATCACGAATTGCGGAGACCACTCCTATTGGTCGGTCCACTGTCAAGAAAACTGACATCTGCGAACTCGCAAAATTTGAAATCAAGGGAGCGAGAGAATTGAAAGAAATTTCATTTTTTGCGAGTTTTTTTTTTCCTCGAAGTCTTATTTCCTGCTTCTTGCTGTTTTCTGTAAGTACCTACCTGAATTTATTTCTTGCAAATTGCTACAAACATAATAAGAATCAAGAAACAACTTAAGCAATTATTTAGGGCTATAACCAAAGATAAGATGTAAATATAGTGTGGCATCGAAAAATTCAGCAAATATTCCTAGAATAATTGCAAAGTTCATATCTATTTAGTTTGGGTATATGAAAGGGTTTCCACAGCGAAATTCGCATTCGCAATTCGTGATTCGCATTGATATGAACTACGGTTAATGATGTTTTTCTAAATTCATCCTATTATTCGTAAAGCTCCTGCCAAAATTCAAGCCTGTTCCTATCAATATTATCGATCATCTTCAAATCTTCTCCTATATCTAGAAACTGTATGACACCTCCAGAACTTGGTTTCCAGTTCACATCCTTTAGAATTTCATCTAACTCAAACGTAGGATCTCCATGTTTTGCGAAATTAGTCCACATTTTAATGAATCGGTGCACCAGAATATTTTCAATACTTCCACGTTCAATTTTTGGAGTGAAGTACGTGCGAAATATGTAATTCAAATCGTCTGCATGTACCACACCCCGATGATTCTCCACAACGATTGAATTCAACCTTCTTTGCATTACTCCTCTTGCACATGAGAAAACTTTTAATAGCATAACCAACAAGCCCACCCTTCTAGGCTCGAAGACAAGTTTGTAAATAAAATTTAGTGGTCCCATCAATGACATCCTGTAGTTATATATTGGTGGCTCGGAATCCTGTGAGTGCAGTATAATTGATCTTTGTATACCTTCCAAAAAGCAAAGGTCTCCTTTCATCTATAAAAAATTAATACAGCCGTAAGAATTGCAAAAATTATGTACATTATATTCATATTTTAAAACGTAACATTGCAAAAGCTTACTAGTGTACAACTCACAAACAGCAGCAGACAAAACAATTATATAACTAAAACAAAAATTTATTTAAAATGCCATTCTTGAAGACACCAAGATTTAGTTTTGATAATCCTGCTGATGAAAAATATCTTCATGGGTTTGTTTTCGTTTACTTCGTCTCAACACAGTATCACTTACACAGGACACAAGTAAAGTCCGCAACATGAAAGATAAATGCGATTCATTTTAGTACCTCTCTGGAGCACTTAGAACTGATAAAATTTAAAAAATTCATTGGATGAAACAACAAATAGGTTAGTAGGTATGATATAATATTTTAATAAATCCAGTGTATAACTGAAAATCCATTTACTTCACAATATTATTTTTCTTATAAATTTTACAATAATTAACTAAGCTATCAGAAAATCATAAAATTCGTTCCAGATTTCTAATCTCTCGATATCAATGTTATCAATTATTTTTAGTTTTTCTCCTATATCCAAAAACTCAATTTTATCTGCACCTACAGATTTCCAGCTTAAGTCGTTCAACGTTTCATCATCAGTTTCACTAGTCGGTTTTCCATATTTAGCAAAGTTTGTCCACATTTTCACACACCGTTGTATGTAAATATCTTCCTGGCTACCTTTCTGAATTTTTGGTGTAAAAAACGTTGCAAATAGATATGTTAAATCATCTGCATGTGAAACAAGCGGAAGGTGTTTTTTCGAAAAACAATTAATTAAACCTTGGAACATCCATTTCGTCATTGATGATAGTTTACACATAAATAAACAAAATCCTACAGTGTTTATAGATGAAGACAATAAGATTGTGTTCAAGTAATTGAGCGTTCCTACCACGGACATTCTGTAGGCGAATATTGGTGAGTCGGTATTTTTTGAGTGGTATCCTATTGCACGTTGTATCGACTGCATAAAGATGATATCACCTTTTAGCTGTAACAAAACAACTGAATATAGTTTTATTTACTCAAACTCTTTAAAATATTTATATCCACTAAACCAAGAAAATATTCCTTTTACCATAGAATAAACTGTACCCATGTGTTCTTGAAAATGATAGAAGAAGGTAACAGGAAACTCACACCAACCACCAGAACGTTATAACAATTTTGTACATGGTCTAGGTATCCATATATCATTCAAGAAATGTAGAAATGTCCAAATTTACAGAAATGCCTAAGCACAAACAACTTCAACAAAACACTCGTCAAAAAGATTTTTGAAAAAAAAAACTCGGAAAGCAAAATAAGTAACAAACGTAGTATAGCTAAGTATTTAAACTAACGGATAAATTGGTGAGGTTCATTTCACGAAGGTTTGTACTTATGACATCGATGATAATTTGGCAAAAAAGGGTTGTCGTAGATTAACTCATATATTTTTATCTATGCGTCTCTTGACACAATCAATTTTTTTGAAAAATTTATTGAATGGCTTCTGGTTCTAAGAACCGACGAACGTTTTTGACGTTATTAATTTGTTTCAGACAATTTTTATTCGGCAAAAGTACAAACCTTCGTAAAAAAAAAACAGTACATACAATTACGAACTGAAAAATAATGAAATTGTATTGCAAAAATCGGAAAAAAGGGAGCTCTCATCAGCCATGATTTGAAATGAAACAACTTATTATTAAAAATTTAATTTAGTAATTCATCAAGTCATGGTAACGTTAAAAATGTATTAAAATAAGTAACAATTTCGTACATGAAATTTCTTGAATCTAAATTTTTAGGTGAGCGAAGATTTCGTCCCAAATTTTAAGTCTTTCCTTATCAACATTTTCAATTATCTTAAAATCCTCAGCAATATCCAAAAACTTAATCTCTGTTTGTGAAATGGGCTTCCATTTAACATTGTTCATTTTTTCATCTATTTCAGGCGTAGGTTCACCACATTTAGCGAAGTTTGTCCACATTTTCACAAATCGCTGTATGTAAAGATCTTCTGGACTTCCGGGTATAATTTTGGGAGTATAAAATGTTGGGAAAAGGTATAATAGATCATCAGCATGGACAACACCTTCCCTTATGTTCCTCTTTGGTATCTTATCAGTTAAACTGAGTATAGTAGTTTTTGCTAATGGTACGTAGTTAGTGGATAATTTACTTAGAAAACTACATAAAATTGTTGTTTTAAAGTATTTTGACATGGCAAATCTGTGAAAGTAGTTTAGTGGACTGACAAGGGACATCCTGTAGGCGTATACGGGTTTAGACTGTTTTGATAGAAGCTCCATTGATTTTTGAATAGAATACATAAAGTTGGTGTCTCCTTTGAACTGCAAGAAAAAGTATGAGCAAATATCTGATACATACAAATGCAAACTAACTAGTTACCTTCTCAGAAGGAATAATACATAATTATGTACCAAGGGCATTATGTAAATTATAATGCCCAGAAGGCGAAACTAGCCTGAGGGCCTCTTGCCCAAGGGATATATTTCGCATAAAGGGCATTATAATTTAAAAATACCTGTGGTGCATACAATACTCTCAATTTCTATTTTCTACTGAACATAATATTCTTTCATCAATTTAGTATCAAACAAAATCAGTTAGAATGTTTTATTATATTTTGACATGTTTTTAATAACTAAGTGATTGGATATTATTAGCGGGCGTTTCGATCTATAACGTCCGCTTATAATGCCCTTAGGTTGTTATAGGTATAACTTATTTCTTTTCCTAAGTATTATGGATCTATAATAGTTGAGTAGAAAATAAAATATATTATTCTAACAATAAGTATTTTCAATTGTGATTGAAAATATTGTTAATAACTACCTCTACCCCGGTGCCTATTCCCAAAACTTATTTTCTCTTCTTTGCAATAATAAAAGCTTGTGACGTTTGGCTCAACGAGTTCATTTGAGCGTTAGGTTAACAAATAACTTTATATTATTTAAGTAAATTTTAAATATTACTTATATTTGTGTGTATTGAACAAAATCACAAGCGTTAATTGAAGTTTCCGGAATATATAAAAGCGGAAGCTTATATAGCTACATGATCCATCATTTTTAGAAATCAATAAAACAATATCACTTAGGTAGATAGGTAGGTAACCCTAATACCTATCTAAACACAGCTTATTTTATCTATTGGTATTAATTGGTTTGAGTTTTGTTTGGAATTGGATCGAAATAAAACAACAGAAGTTTGTTATTTCAGATTGTCAACGTTTCGCAATATCTTATTGCATCTTCAGGACACTACAAAAAGGTAAGACAATGTTACTCTATAAAGTCCTAACAGTTGCAGTTATGCTTATAGTATTTACATTTGAGATTGATTTTCTATGTCATTACATGGAGAATATACGAAGTGTTTCGGTAGGTACAGATTCACAGGAGACGTAACATTTACATACATGAAACAATTTAATACCTATCTCAAAAACGTTAAAAAAAACAATCAAAATTTAAAAATTATCAAATTTTAAAATATAATATATAAGCCCGCTGTTACTCTTTTAATAATGTTATCGTTCGTGAGAGCAAACAGAGAAAAACCAAGTACGGAATGGCATCCGAATCTAGAAAACACTTATATGAAAGCTGCTTTGTGATGATCATTTTGTTGTTGATAAAATGTTAAAATAAGCATTACTTAAATTTTGTATGGCTGTTCTTTTATTGACGCAATTTTTATCTTTTTGTATTTCCATCATCTCAGCAAGATTCAGGTATTAATAACAAGCGGACTGTTAATCTTAGTAATATTGAGATACCGGGGGAAGTGCAGTATATACTTAGTTGAGGTGATAAGTTCAATTTAACATATAAAAATAATGAATGCCCTATTAAAGATCTTATTGTTGATGTTGAATGCATTTGAGAAAAGTTTGATAATGACATTGAGATACAAATCAGGAATCAATGTATCAACATAGTTACTAACTCGTTCAGATAAAAGAGTATAAGAAGAGACTGCTAAATCATATGTCAAAATGAACTTCAAAATTTTTGAAGACTAATAAAGATAAAATAGTGGTACTTAAAGCAGATAAAGGCAATACCATAGTCATCATGAATAAATCTGAGTGTTTGGAGAAATCTAAAAATATGCTTGGTGATCAAGTTACATATAAAATGCTTTTATAAAGGACCCGACCATTACAATTCAAAATAAAAATAATGAAATGATTGACTCTCTTATCAAGGAGGGGTTTATTGAAATTAAACGAGGTAAGAAATTGAAAAAAAAAATACTGCTACTCTCCCTAAAATTTATTTTCAACCAAAGATACACAAGAATAATAACCCTTTGAGACCAATAGTATCGTTCGTGGGCTCACCTCTATATAATCACACTATGCCTTTCTTGAAAATATTTTGAATGACTTATTTGTTGAGGACGAAACTAATGTCAGAAATTCTTTCGATTTCGTAGAAGACATTAGCTTTGTTCGTGGGTCCGAATCCGAATCGGTTCAGGGACTATTCGCATGCGCAGTGTGAAAAGTGGCGTTCGCGGATAATAAAATTCTGAATTTTTAGTAACAGTTCTACGTACGCGAATCACATAGAATTGGTTTTAATTGATTCGGAATCGGTTCTAGCGGTCCCAGGATTTTTGTTAGGACTAAAAGTTCGGTTTGGCTGCTCATGCGCAATTTCGTCAGAATCGTCAGCTGACTGGGGTTTATTTGTGTTTGTGGTATTTAAATTTGGTTTTTTAATTGTTTATACGCTGAAGCGATAAACTGTACGCTAGTTTTTTCCTATGGAGTTTATAGTTTACTGAGTTTGCAGTACAGTATAGTAAGTTATTTATCTCTATTTAATGCAATATTATATTTATTTATATGCACAATTTTAGTGATAGTACCTCTACTAGTCATACCATTTGTCATCTAGCGATGAGGACAAGAAAGAATTACTAGAGGTTGTTTAAGTTCCTAAAAGCAATGCATATTTTGAGGATACGATGCCACAGTACAACGATGAAAAATTTATAGAGCATTTTCGAATTTTGAATAAATAAAAATATTATATCTGTTCTGTTGTTGCTTTGGTTTTATGAAAATCAAATAGCTAAGTTAGGTTCACAAATCACATAACGTTTAGATGTATTCGATTTTCGGTTCCAAAATCGCGGTAAAAACAAATCCTGAACCGATTCCTAACTAGGCATGCGCGCTACGACAATCCCGAATTAGTTCTGAACCGATTCGGAATCTGACCCGCGAACAAAGCTATTAGGAGTATCAAGTTACCAATGAGCTACCAAGTTATATCTCTGGATGTCATTTAATTATTTACCCTTAATTGGTCGCTCCGGCGTAAAAAGTACGCCAAACGAGTTCAAACACGTGACATATTGAAACTAGCGATTGACTGAAAGTGATCGCCTATGTAACCTACCACCATAATGTCTTGTATGCACGGGAAAAGTGGCGATCCCGTTGGTTTCCATTTCGCTTCCCTGCAGGGCGCTGCTTTGAATAATGTACAGATTGGCGTACAAAATACGCCAAAGCGACCGTTAATGATTTTTATTTTTGCAATGGTTTTCGCCTAAACTGTAACATTTATATGGTTGGGATTGAAAATTTAAGTTTTATCGAGAATGCTTCCGGCTGTAGTTATATTGGTAATATGCTTTGATGTCTTTTATAAGGTTATGTGATTTCGCAATTTCTTGGTGTATTATTTTTGCTGCTATATTATGTCTTTCTGTATGACGTTCCTGCTAGAATTTTACAGCCCCTTAGGATGTGCTTTACATTTTCTTGCTGTAGGTGACATTTTCTATATAGATCATTATCTATGTTATTCTTCAATATGTGTTTTTGGTAACTTTTTGTGGCGATCACTCTTGTCCCGTCAACCCCCCCCCCCCCCACTCTTGTTGGGCCTGTATCTAAATATTTTCCATGGAGTGTGTTCTGTACCTCCTGTTCACTTATTTCTTCACATTCACGATATGTCTTCTCGCATATTGTAGGATAGTTTCTTTCTGATAGATTAAGTGGTGTATTTCTATTGTCAGCTAGTGATATTGCTTCATGTAGGGGGTTTCATTTACCATGGAAGAAGCTTCTTAGAGTTTTTATTTGTCTTGCGTGCAGTAAGTGAATATCTATAAGTCCTCTTCCTCCGTCTTTTCTCCTTATGACCGTTCTCTCTTTACAGGCGTTAGGGTGGCGTTTCCTGTATATTGTGAGTTGTTTGTTTGTGGCTTGGTGGATTTTGTCTATGTCAGTTTTTGTCCATTTTATTATTCCAAAGGAATACATGAGAAGATATATAGGTAGCGAATGTGTTGATTGCTTTGGAGAGGTTTTTCGAGTTCAATTTGGATTTAACACTTTGACTGCCACGCCAAATTCTATGAAAGGGTTGATGGGTATATGGTCTGTTTGCAAATGTTCCTTTTCTGTATTTAAATGAATTTTTGTTTTCCATTTCGTCATGGTTAATGAGAAAATTGCAGAGTATTGGGTGTATTCTATAGATTTGTAATACTTTTCTTAGCCAAGAATGTGGAACCGTGTCAAATGCTTTTTTATAGTCGATGTAACACGTATGTAGGTTTCTGTGCTGTTTTTCGACTTGTTTCATTATTACACTGTCGATAATAAGCTGTTCCTCACATCCTTGATTGTTTTTACGACATCCCTTCGACTGTAAGCAAGTTTTGATCCAATAAATGTTCCTCTACTTCTAAACCTATGCATGCAGTTATTATTTTGTACATATTTTGTAGACATAGCCGCTTTCCAGTATGGGAGTGTGACGCCCGGAGCTACTCGGGGCGTTGAGCTCCCGAGCTGTACGTACACGTCAACCTGTCAGCTGTCACATCCGTGGGTGGCTATTTATTTATTTATTTCTTGTTATATCTCAAGATTGAACATTTTAAAAAATATACTTTTGATTCTCTTTCATTTTTGATAAATAAAAAAACAAACTCCACAAACAATAACAGATAATTATTTTTAAAATTTGACATATTTGACACTAAGACAAGCGTCTCACGCCATGATACTGGAACGGTAGAAATTTATTGCGTGGCGCCCCTGAGGTGCTCTAGAGCGCGCCAGAGCGCGCCAATGTGCATACTGGAAAGCGGCTCATGTGATGGGCTGAAAATTGGCTGGGTTTTTTGTGTCATTATCTTTCGGTACTAAATAAGTAGGTATTTCCTTCAGTTAAAAACGCCGGTAGGGGGTCAGGGTGCGAAATTACTTTATTTATTTCAGATGTGAGGTATGGAGAATGGCCGACAGTTGTTTATACCAGAAGCTGTGTATTTGATCAGTTCCTGGGCTTTTCCAATTGTGTCTTTTACGTATAAATGCAACTAGTCTTCTGTAGTAATTTTGTAATTTTTTTGCTCTTGTAAGTTTGATTGCCTATCTTCTTTATGTTTAATCCATGTCGCTGTATTATTATTGTTTTTCACATTTTCAGACCAAAATATTCATCACAAAGCAGCTTTCATATTAGTGTTTTTCAGATGCGGATGTAGTTCCCTATTGAAAGAGTAACTGCTGGCTGTGCCTGTCTTATATATTATGATATTTTAAAATTTATTAATTATTAACTTTTAATTTTTGATTATTTTGATTATATTTTTTTGATGTTTGATAAATTTTAATTGTACCATGTATGTGAATGTTACGTCTCCTGTGAACGTGCCAAAATTGACTAACTATTAAATGCTTGTTTCAGTTTTCCATTCGAGATTCCTTCAATTTTCTCTACAAAATTTCAACAACAATTACAGCAGTTACAGATCCTGTAAATTTTCTAATTTTCATTATTTAAATTCTATTTTAATTTGTTACTAGTTCTTGTGATGGCTAATGATTTTCCTCGATTTTAATCAATATTTTTATTCAATATCAAAATCAATCCCCACGTAAACAAATCAAATATTCATTTATCAAAAATATTTCCGGGGTTATGTCCAAATCCTGATCCGTTTTCAAAGTGCCTGTACCGTACTACTCTCTATTCGGCTGCTGAACTCAGTGCCAGTTTTTTTTTTTTTTTCTGCAACCTTGCTCTCTATTTTATAATGACACTTGACGCTTATTAAGTCATGTCACTCTTGATTCGCATCTCAGCTGACTTTTGAAGTGTCATTAATTTTTGTCGATTCGCTTTCGATTAGTAATGTTTTTGGGATCGTCGATTCCTGTTAAGCACTTAAGTTTTGCAACACGGATCGCTTACTCCATGTCCTATTTTTCAAATTATGATTGTTCTATTGGATAATTCCTTGTTATTATTTTCATTAGTCGTCAGCTGTTGTCATTTGTCTCTGATTATATTGTTGTGTGCAATTTTTGGTAAGTAGGAATTCATTCTATCGATTAATTTTTGACGTTTGTCGTTATTCTGAATCATCTCTGAATCCCTATCTTTAGGTCAGCTAATTAATTTTATGTATTGGACATTCCTTTCACGTTTTCGTCTGCTTTGAGAGAAGGCCTCTCTTGAAGAATTTAATTTTCTTTATTCACCCTAAAAGGGATTTTGGACCTAATATTCTCAGTAATTGAATTCATCGCGCATTAAGTTTCCTTACGTTGAGTTTAATTTTCGTAAGCGCTACAATTTTCGCCGATGTTATCGGATTTGAAAAAAGAAACCATTTCGTGAAAAGCTACCCTAAAGAGTAGAGTAAAGATAATCTCACCTACTCCAGGATTTCGAATTCACACCTCGATCCAGATTTCCAGAGTATTTTCGATGCAAACAAAACCCTATTTCTAACAGGGTTCTTACTCACGGTTACCTTGTGACACAACAATACATGTAAAATTGTAACCGAGATTGTAACTGTAAGGCTATCACACTCCAGCCTAAGCCTTCTAGTTGGACGGTTATACAAGCCTTCCGGACTGTGAATTTGAACCGTAAGATTGGGTTGACTATCTTAACCACAACCAGTAGCCAGGACTAATCTGGTTAATTGTACCTACTGCTACCATCTGGAACATTTTGGTATCTTACTATCTTTAGTTATCCTATCTTTATTTTATTGTTAATTTACATTTTGTCCCTATTTTGTACGCCAAAGTGATCACTAAAGTATTTCAGGGAGTAATTCAGTACTTGTACCAATGTGACAAGTGAAACAAAACGACAGTTATTATTATAGGTAGTTTAGCTAGATATAGCCTGGTTCAGGTAGTTGATTATTTATGCCAACTTACTTGTATTTCTGGATACAACAGTGTAAGGTAACCGCTCCGCCAACTAATTATTTATTTAATTTTTTTTATTTTTATTTCTCTCCACTTTATATTTTCAACTTTTACACTTTTTTTTATTATTATTCATTTGGTAATTGAGTTTCAATAATATTTTTTGATTTTCACATTTAAATTTAATTGTTTACGACTGTAGCAATTATTTCAATAGCCCTCGGTATAGCCATTTCTGTATTTGATAATTGACACTTCATTAAAAGGTCACGAATTGTTTAATTCTGAGCTAGGGCATAATTCGCTCGCACTACGACCTTCAGTCCTACAATCTCAAGCTCTTCATTATTTTTTTTTAATTTTTTTAATTTTTTTCTTTCTAAACTTTTTTGTTCACTAAGCGTGGCACTTTTCATGTAATGACATAGAAAGTCAATCTCAAATGTAATTACCCAATACTATGAGCATAACTGGCGTTGTTAGGACTCTATAGAGTAACATTGTCTTACCTTTTTGTAGTGTCCTGAAAATGCAATAATATATTGCGAAACTTTGACAATTCGAAATAACAGACTTCTGTTGTTTTATTTCGATCCAATCCCAAACAAAACCTCAACCAATTACAATTAAGGGATCGACAACAAACTAACCAATTATTGGTATTAATATTCGCCTATCCTCCGCTTATTAAATCATAACTTTTATTGTTATAGGTTTGTCCTGGGGTAGTTGTATGATATAGAAAGTAAAATTATTAGAATAATATTTTACTTACCAATTATAAAAAAAATATGTAGTAAAAAAGTACCTCACTAATATACACCAGAGAATTTCTTGTAAAAATATTGCAAAATACTTTATTATAATTACCGCAACCATTGGTGAAATTAGGATAGATCGAAATGCACATAAGCTCAAACTAGTACCAAAGCCAAACAATCACCTAGAAAGCCACTCGGTACTTTCAGTCAACCAATAAGTATAATGTCTCAAATTAAAAATTTACTGGCCAGCTCTAAAACCGAAACTATTAAATATATTTATTGAATTATTTACAGCTTATAGACTAACCAATAGAGCTAATGTCAATACCTACATGATTATTTTAAACAGTTTTTTTTATATAGATCGGTGAATTTTTAATAGGGTCATTACTTTTTTGGCGGACTGTACTACAAAAAAAATTCTACAAATACTTTTGCAGGTATTCTTAATGTTTTCAGGCACCCAACACCCACATTTATTCAATGAGTAAGTAAGTTAAGTTACCTTATAAACCTGGTCGATATCTTCTTCATTAGAGTCCGCAAAATATAATTCTTTCAACCTTTCAGCAATCTCTTTGCCCTTATCAGTATTAGCCAATCCAAGTTCATATGGAATTTCTTGTTCGAGATTTAGCGGGAGTTTGATTCCTGGCACAGTTTTTCTCACTAATTCGAAAAAGATTCCTTCGCCTGAATTGTATCCCATAATGATAGGAACTTTGTTCCAGCTCTGGGATTGCAAAATTTTCAGTGGGTGTTCGGTTAGGAACGCGTCTTCTGATGGAGGCTCAACTACTGGACCAAATGGACGGACGGATCCAGCAGAAAAATCCTAGAAAGAAATGTGCGTAAGTAGGAATACCCTGCTTGAAAACGCTGTGGCACTCATGTTTCTTGAAAACTTGTTATTGTTGAAAAAAAATCCTATTTGAAAACAAATGCCAAAACTACTTTGAAAAAATTGGCTCGTATTCTGGTATTTCGGGCGTCCCTATTCTTGCAACCAGGGAAGCTCGTTCCTAGGAGAACGAGTAATGATATGCTTTCTCAATGATATGCAACTGATAATATAGGTAACAAAGACGGAACACTCGTTCTCCTGGGAACGCTGCTCCCCTGTTTCAAGAATAAGGACCCAGGAGCCAGGAGTATTTTACATTTAAAGATTATTGAAATAATAAATTAACCAATCAAATCATCCAAATCCAATCCAAGAAGAAAAACAAGAAGAGCGACGCAAAAAACCATGGCTCTTCTTCCTTGATTCTAAACGGGTTATTTCTTCCAAAAAATCTTAAATTATATTAATTTTGTCTATCTAATCACCAATATTCATATTGCTCACCTCTTTCAATTTGCCTTGACCCCTGATGATATTTTTGGCGGATTCCTTCCGCAACCTGTCCAATATCTTCTTCTCTTCTGTATCTTTGTAGCCTAAGCACTTCGCAATTTCTGTTGAATTATTTTTGCCCCAAGCCCAATTGTTTAGAGCACAGCCACTTTGTAGTATAGCTTTATGAAATAGGCCTGAATAAGTGAAACAAAATATAAATACACAATATTATGTAACTCATAGGCTCATAGAATGTATTATCAGAAGTACTCAATATTCACATATTTATGAAAGATAAGTAGGTAAGGTCCGTTTCACCAGGGTTCATACTTGACCTCGAAACTTGAAAAAAAAGGGTTGTCGTAGATTGATTCATATGACACATGCACTTTTTTGACAAATTAAAATGAATGACTTTTGGTTAAAAACCGACAAACGTTTTTGACGTCATTGATTTATTTCAGTCAATTTTTATTTGTTAAACAAGGAAGGTAAATGCTGGTGGCAAGTACAAACCCCGGCGAAACAAACTTTATGTGGGTACTCAAAATGCGTAACAAACTATTTTTACTTAGGGATTTCGGAGGATGATTTCAATTAATACATTGCAGAATTAGCAGAAATAACAAGAAGTTATATGAGGTATTTAAGCTGTGAAATTAATCCATACAATACGCGTTTTATCGCCACGCTGTCAAGAATTACACAGTATAGGAATCGGCTTAATTTTAAAAATAGATTTTTAATTGCGAGACTTCTGAACCCTGTTTATCGTTTGCCTCAATAATAGTTCATCTGGTTCATCTAATAAAATCGGGATACCCCATACAATTTCAATCCCTATGAGCTCTTTTTAATGGATTATTATAATAAAAATTATGAGTTGTATCCTAGTTTCATTTTTGAAGGAGGACAATGGGATGGGCAATGTCTCCATATATGTGGATAGCAAAATGTGGCTGAAGTTAGCTTCATATCCAATATCCATATTCAGATTCGTGTATGTTACAGCCGACCAGATAATTATTGAAAAGAAAAATGAAAATACCACGAAATTCAATCAAATAAAATTATTATAATATGAAGGGGAATTTTTGGGCTCCGGAAAAGTTAGAAATAACCCTTAGGCACATCCGAGGATATTTTGTCCAGACAAAGTTAGGTCTGGGAGACTCACTACGGGGGAAAATCGATTGTAAGGATTTTTTGAAATTTGAGGAAGATAGACTTGACCCCCCAAGCACATTCAAGAATATTTTTTCCAGTCAAGTGTGGTCTGGAAAAGTTGATAATTTGTTCAAAAATTCGTGAATAATTAATGATGCTTTGTAGGGATTTTTTGAAGTTTGAGGATGATAGAATTGTCCCTTAAGCACATTCCAGAATAGTTTTTGCAGTCAAGTTAGGTCTGGGAGAGTCACTACGGGAGGAAGTTGATGATCTGTTTGAAAATTCGTGAAAAATTAGTGATGCTTTGTAGGGATTTTTTAGAGTTTGAGGATGATAGAGTTGACACCTAAGCATAGTCGAGAATATTTTTTGCAGTCAAGTTAGGTCTGGGAAAGTCACTACTGGAGGAAGTAGATAAATTGTTGGAAACTTCGTGAAAAATCAATGATTCCCGTAGGGATTTTTAGAAGTTAGAGAAGCGATACCTCTCCATTCTGGAGAGGTATCGCTCCAATAGTGGAACTGGTATTCCCGTCACTAATCAAATATCAATGGGGCTACAACAGTATACCATTGTATCTGGTATATTCGCTGGAATTTAAACAGTTGCTAGCACATATCTAGTCGCTTATCGGCCGACATAGCTGGATTGTAGCTTGGACAATCCCCCGTAGTGATTCTCTCAGATCTAACTTGACTGCAAAAACTTTTCTCGACTATGCTTAGGGGTCAACTCTATCATCCTCAAACTTCAAAAAATCCCTACAAAGCATCATTAATTTTTCACGATATTCAAACAAATTATCGACTTCTCCCCGTAGTGACTCTTCCAGACCTAGCTTGACTGCAAAAACTATTCTCGAATGTGCTTACTGGTCAACTCTATCATCCTTCAGGGTTAACTATCATCGTCAATCTTCAAAAAATCCCTACAAAGCATCATTAATTTTTTACGAATTTTTCAACAAATTATCGACTTCCACCGTAGCGACTCTCCCAGACGTAACTTGACTGCAAAAACTATTCTTGAATGTGCTTAGGTGTCAACTCTATAATCCTCAAACTTCAAAAAATCCCTATACAAAGCATCATCAATTTTTCACAAATTTTCAAACAAATTATCGACTTCCCCCGTAGTGACTGTCCCAGACCAAACTTAACTGGAGATAATGTCCTCGAATGTGCCTAAAGGTTATTTCTACCTTTTCCGAATCCCAGAAATTCCCTACATAATTTAATAATTTTATTTAATTGAATTTGGCGTTATTTTAATTTTTCTTTTTAATAAAAATCATCTGATCGAGTGTAATATACACGAATCTGAATATGAATATGAAGCTAACTTCAGCCACGTGATAGCAAAGCAGCCTGAGACTACTATGATCAAGAATAGTGATGAGCAACAGGGAAGTGGTATCCTGGATCAGGAACAGTAATGTCGGATTAAGCTGGGTTCCTGGACATAGTAATAGGGATACTGATACTATAAGGATAGACAGTACACTTCTGTTCTGTTACCTAACAAAAGCGTTCGATTGTGTCTCCCAAGAGCTCCTACTGTGTAAGTTAAAATTATATAAATTCGATCAGAGTGCAGTTGATCAACTAAGCTGTTCTAGAGGGAAATGATGTATGAACCTGTTAAATTTTTGGGTGTTTATATTGATAGCAGGCTAACTTGGAATGACCACATAAACAAGTTTTGTTAAGGTATAGCTTCCAGTGTGTACGCATTGTGAAGATTTGTGGATGTTTTTTTCTGAATCAGTGCTCCTGTCTCTTTACCATGCCTTTAGTGAAACCAGAATTTCGTATGCAATATTGGGCTGGGGTCATGACCCAAGTATAAAACGACTGTTTGGATTATAGCGGAGGGCTGTAAGGGTTATATGTGGTTTGACATACAGAGACGATTGTAGAGATGCATTTATTTGTAAAATTGAACATTCTTAGTATCTCTTGTATATATATACATATTTCATTGCCTGATATACTTAAAGGAAGATATACATGGTCATAAGACGAGGCATAAAGATCATGTTTGCACAGGCTTCCATCGAATAAATAAGATTAGGACGGGAATATGGAATAACATTCTATGGTCCTAACTTTTTTACCAGAGGTTGCGTCCCACAGTGAAAATGTTGCCTACAAAATACTACAAGCTTGTAGTAAAAACATACCTAATTAAGAAATGTTTCTATTCTCTGGATGAATTTCTTAGTAACAAATTCAATTTTGAAAGGACCCCGCACACATCTTATGGGATTATGGTGCCCGGTTGAATTTGATGAAATTTTGGTATGTTGTTTTTCTTGAGGTCCCAATCAAAAGTGTCCATGGGCACAAATGAATCCTATGATTAGTTTTTGAAATACAGGGTGTTTGAAAAGTTGGATATGCGATTATGACGAGTGCCTTAGGTGGTAATACAGCACCCGTAACGCCGCATTATCTTGATGGATATACACCGAGACCGCATACCGTCCGCGAGCAGACAGCAAATGATATAAGGTCTCCGGCGCCCTATGGCAGGCCCAACAACTTGTGCCAGGAACCTTTATACCCATCACGCGACTCCGGTGTTCCAAAGTGTTGATGACTCCATCTTGGCAAGCAATGGTAAACCCCTCAGTTTCCGACTTTAATGCACCAGACCTTAAGAATGCAAAGCTTGGCTTTTTGGATAAGCCAGTGTTTCCAATGGTTTTAAAGAAAACACTGTGCAATGGCTTATCCATATGTAGACGTATTTAATAGTCTACCTCTGCATTCTTTGGGGTAGTTTTAAGTTTTTGGCTGGCAAACTCTGTACTAGAGTTTTCCTGCCGCCGACACTTGTCGAAAACTATTTGGAGTTCATCCGCTGGCCTTTGTGCAGCCTTGAAAAGAAATTCCCCCACCCCAACCATTTCATGGTTACGCACCATGCACAGCAGGGGATCCTCGTCTCTGATTACTCCGCACGCGGCACTTAGGACCAACCGTCTATGCAGACACTCCAAACTTAAGAGTCCACGGCCTCCCCGATAACGTGGGAAGTAGGGAAGTAGATCCGTTAGACAGACGCCTTAGGATGATGGCTTCGGCATCGCGTCATCATCTTGCGGGTTTTCACGGCAATTTTACGTAACTCATTCATATTCCACCATATTATTATTATTCTCATTATCATCATTCAAATGTTTTCTCGGATTCAACCGGTTTCTCCCTGGGCAGACGGGTGGCTACCAAGTCTACCTAGTGAAATTACTACCTACTTGAGGAAAGTTCGGGTTATATTGCATGTTTTTAATATTATGGCTTCCTGTATGTACTCATGTATGACTGTATCCAGCTGCAGATGTTTTAGATGTTGAGTGAATGCCCTATGTGTTATCCCTGTTGCGGACATTATAAATGGTATGATGTAGACTTTTTTCTGTTTCCAAATTCTTTCAACTTCCATTGTCAAGGGCGTATATTGTTCAATTTTTTCTGCGTACTTTTTACTAATGTTCTTATCTGTAGGTATTGCTATGTCTATTAGATATATCTTTTGATTTACCTTATCTATCAGAGTGAGATCTGGTCTGTTATGCTGTTCAGTTTTGTCCGTGCGTATATCTATGTCGTAGTAGAGTTTGGAACTCTTTTTCTCAAGTATACTGTCTGGCGTGTAGTGGTAATATGGTGTTTCTGTGGTGATTAGGCCATATTTATGGGCCAATGCTTGGTGTATTACTTTAACTGCAATGTTGTTTCTATCTGTTTATGACGTGCCTGCCAGTATTTTATATCCTCCTACTACATGATCAATAGTTTCCTGGTGCTGGTGGCATTTTCTGCATAAGTCGCTTATCTCTGTATTTTTCAATATATATTTCTGGTAGTTCCTGGTCGCTATCACCTGATCCTGTATGGCGAGTGTAGAGCCTTCTGTTTCTGGATAGAGTTGTTCTTTCTTTAGCCATCTATATGATTCTTGTTTTTGAATCTGTTCGTTGTTCATGATGTACAAGTGTTTTCCGTGTAGCTTTTTTTGTGACCATTCCTCCATTCTCTGTTGTTGTGTTTTTATTTGCTGTGATTGTGTTTCAGACTGAGAGACATTAAGTGGTGTGTATTCTTTATCTGCTTGCACGACTGTTGAGTGTAATGAAGTTTGCTTGCTGTGGAATTATTCTCTGGAGTTTGTATCTGCTTTGCATGGAGTACGTGAATGTCTACTAGCCCTCTCCAGCCTTCTTTCCTGCTTATTGTGATTCCCTCTTTACATGAGTTTGGGTGTAGTTTCCTATTCCTCGTCAGTTCAGAGCTTGTGAGGATATTTATGTTCTTCAGGTCTGTTTTTGTCCATTTAATTATTCCGAAGGAATATGTAAGTAGCGGGATGGCAAACGTGTTAATAGCTTTGAACAGATTCTTTGAGTTTAATTTTGTATTTAGTATTAGAGTTAAACGATTCTTGAACTCCTTAGTTGGTTGTTTTTTTATTGTTATGTGATCTATTCTTGTCTTCTGTTGGTATCCCAGATATTTATATGTTTCATCAATTTGCATGTTATCAAGCTTTTCATTGTTTAGTGTTTCTGTGTCGACTTCTTCCTTCCATTATTCATTTTCTATAGGTACCTATATAATGTTTTGCATTTGCTGATTTCGAATTCCATTCCGATGTCTGTTGTAACTTTTTCCGTTATTCTCAGTGATTCCCTCATTTGTGTCTGTGTTGGTGCATATATTTTGATGTCGTCCATATAAAGCAGATGGTTGATTCTGTGTTTTACTCTGCTTTTGTGTTATTCAGTGTGTCGGGGAGTGGGTTGAGGCACAGACAGAACAAAAGTGCACTCAGAGAGTCTCCTTGGAAGATTCCCTGTTTTATATTAATGTTGTTTGTTTTTGGTTGCTCAGTTCCTGTTGTTAAATATATGTTTGTTCTCCAGGTGTTAATTATGGTTGACAAGAAGTTTCTAATAACTGGATGTATTTAATACATTTGTAGCACCTTGTTTAACCGTGAATGTGGAACAGAGTCGAACGCTTTTTCGTATTATTATTATTATTATTATTATTATTATTATTATTATTATTATTATTATTATTATTATTATTATTATTATTATTATTATTATTATTATTATTATTATTATTATTATTATTATTATTATTATTATTATTATTATTATTATTATTATTATTATTATTATTATTATTATTATTATTATTATTATTATTATTATTATTATTATTATTATTATTATTATTATTATTATTATTATTATTATTATTATTATTATTATTATTATTATTATTTTTTTTTTTTTTTTTTTTTTTTTTTTTTTTTAGGGTGGACAAAAAAACCCTTCAAAAGGCATTTGGTTAATGTGTTGGGTACCAAATAGTGTGGGATTTTTACCGCACTAAAAAAGACCACCCTAGAGCATCAACAGCAAGGTTATTAGCTCATAAAACAAGTACTGTGTATATAAATATTTTTGGTAGTATCTAGTATCACAGATGGCGAGTATCCTAGATGGTAAGTATCACATTATGGTAAGTATCACAGATCTATATTTGTTCCTAAATTTTATCAAATAGATTAATATCTTTGATGTAGTCGAGTACGTTTCTCATGTTTTCTTTTTTCAGGTTATCTTCTGTGCATGGCCCTAAACCATAGAGTTGTCTTCGAGCATTGAAAACAGGACATTCACTAATGATATGACTAATTGAGAGAGTTACATTATTATTATTATTATTATTATTATTATTATTATTATTATTATTATTATTATTATTATTATTATTATTATTATTATTATTATTATTATTATTATAATTATTATTATTATTGATATCGAAGGGAACGAAATGGCAGATAGACTGGCAAAACTGGGAATGAAAGAGGGCCAAGCTCAAACAGTCGAATCATCACAACCAACGATCAAACTGTTGCTGGATTTAGTAGATAAAACCATGAAGCCTCCGCGTAGCAGAAGATGGCGCAATCGCAATGACTACGAAACATCACGAGCTCTATGGCCGTACGTGGATATGGAGTAAACCAGGAAATTATTAAAACTGGATAAAAGCACCTTAGTAGGGGCAATCACACGACACTGTGAAGTCGGAACAAAGCTCCATAAGTGGGGCCTCGAGACCGATAAACTATGTCAAGAATGCTTTGAGGTGGATGAAACAATAGAGCACCTACTATGTCACTGCCAAGCCTTGCAGAAAGAACTCCTACACCACCTGGGGCAAAGTTTCATTGAGAACGGGGGAGAAGATAGGGACGATGGAAATACTGAACTTCGTAAAAACCATGCACTGGCACATAATGAAAAAAGGAGGAACAGGTTAAAGATTTGGGAGGGAACCACCCTGGAGAACATTGGGCCGATGATCCTCCGTGTGCAAACTCTACAGTTGTAGGGCAAACCCTTTAAAACCTAACCTAACCTAACTTATATTACTACAGGTAGGTATAATAATATTTTCTCAGTAGGAAGTATAAATCTACTCCAAAGCCAAAGTATTTTTTGATTTCCAGTGGTACCTAACCTATTTTTGGAGTACATTGTCTGAAATGCGTAGAATAGTACCTAACTATTATGATTATACCTACTAGCTTTAAAGCAAATTGTAGGCGTTTACTTACTAGGTGAGGCGGGATTTAAACTATTTAGAAATCAGATTATTAGTTCCAAAATGTAGAAATGTCTTTCATCATTCCGCTTCTACAATAATTTCAGTGTTTTCAGCTTCAGCTTTCTATCCCCTACAGCAGTTACAACATAAACTAAAATTTTCTCAAATATCTTCAGATGAAGTGGCGGTGTGATAAGATACCCACAAGTTTTTAGCACCTTAATATATTAGGAAAGTTCGACAGAGAATGAAGTAGGTACCATTCTCGTCGTGTCTTCTGAAATTTGAAATCCTCACTACTACCCATTTCTGACAATTTTAAAAGAATAGTAAGCCCTAGCATTCTCGGGAACGTGATATGATACCAACTACGCTAATGCCAGAGTAAACACTCTGGAATTCTATTTGGCTTAGTAACTTTCAGGAAAATTGAAGAAACCGCTTTGAAATTTGGCTTATAATCAGGTACCTACTACTACTTAAAAAATATTAATAAGTACGTAGGATTAGCGGGTAAATACTATTTCTTTATTTAGTCCACCAAATATTTTCGTTACTTAGAGGTTAATACAGCACAGAAGGGTCCACAGAATTTTTTTATCCAATTATGGATGAAAACTACATAAAAATAATATGACAAATGCCAGTTGACAGAAGGCTGCAGGAGAGAGTAATGAGGTATAATACGATATGAGACATTAGAATAAGGTCAACTACCTTTGGTTGATGGAGAAAGAACTAAATAGTGCACAGATGCTGCCCCAGCGCTCTCTCCAAATATGGTAACATTATTGGGATCACCTCCAAACTTTTCAATATTTTGTTGTACCCATTTTAGTGCCATTCTCATATCTTTAAGTCCGTTATTACCAGGTACCTCAAGGCTCGGATCCTTGAAGCTTGCAAATCCTAAAAAAAAATGTTTCACCCAAGAAATATTTGTTATAGAAAATAGTTTTTAATTCCCCTAACATACCTAGGATACCTAATCTATAATTTATAGTGACTAAAATAATGTCCTGAGTCATCAAATAGTCAGGGCCGTAGAGGTCACTTTTATTTGATCCTGTTACAAAAGCACCTCCGTGGATCCATACCATCACTGGCTTTTTAAGTGATTCACTTTCTTTTGGTAACTGAAACATGATAACTTTAGTTTCGATTGAAATTGAAGCGTTGAATGATAGAGTCGACTGAAATTTGTTCATACTTACTTCTTTCGTGAAAACATTCAAGTTGAGGCAATTGTCCTCGTTGCCGATAAAGTAAGTAAAGTACATATCACTACTCGGACATTCTGGTCCTTCTTTGGTTGCATTTCTGATATCAGTCCATGATTCTGGGGGGTTGGGAGCCTGAAATGCAAAAACATTTTGATAATAATTAAATATTTTGGTTTTAAAGATATGGAAAAATCGATTTCTTTACATGTTTAATAGTTATTTATGTATCAAGGGAATTATGCAGGTGTTAATACCCCAGGGCAACGTTTGTGTCCCGAGGGCCTCCGGCCCGAGGGACACCAATTGCCCGTGGGTATTAACTCCTGATAATTCCCGTGGTACATAGATAATTTTATATCCTACTGAATTTACTGTATTCTGTCTATTTTTATAGAGGAATAAGCCCTAAATCAAAATTTCTATTTTTTGTCAAAGTGTTACCTATTCAAGGTAAAAGCGGGAGTTATGGAAATCCTTTACTCCCTTGGGAGTTATGATATTCTTAACTCCCTTCCTTAACTCCCTTGGGAGTTATGAAAATCCTTAACTCCCTTGGGAGTTAAGACCCTGTTTATGATTATCGTAACCAAGGTATTATATGGTTTTAATAGTTCAGTAGGATATAAAATATTTAAATATCCATGTTAATTATTTTTATTAGTTATAGGTAGCGTAAACATTATCCGAGCCCCCGTCGGAGCCCTTCCTGACTTGTGTTCAGCAAATTATAAAAAAAAATCAGGAAGAGAAGATGATTATAAGAAAAAAAGGAAGATCATGTAGGTATGTTTTCCGAGCATACCTACATGATCTGAGTGACAGTGACAGCTAAGAAGCAAAATTGATAAATACCCCTCGTTTTTATTCTCATCGGTGAATTCACCGGTGAGTTAGCTATCTTTGTTTCGTGAATGAAAAATGACAATGACGGCCATAGAATGGTGGATCCATCGGTAAAATTTGTTGAGAATAAAAACGCAGGAATACCATACCATAATTTAATTACTAGTTTTTAATTTTTCTTTGTAGGTGACTGTGAACTTACTTTAGGTATAGTCAGTCTTACCAAAGTCAGTTGAAACAAGGTAGAGGTAAATCACAATTGATGACTGAATATTTTCATAAGAAATGCACTGCCACTAGTCAGCCACCAGATGCAATTTATTATTACCTTGTTTCAATTTTCAATTGACAATCTAATTGTATAGTATATACAATTAGATTTTTTTTCACCGTACAAATAAGTGATACATTATAATACCATATATTTCTTTATACATAATTAGGCATTATTACCAGTTACCAATAATTATTGCGAACTTGGTAGGTACCATTTATCATGACAAAAAAATATTATATCTATGTTATGCAATTGAAATGCTCATCCTTGTATCATATTGAAAGCTTATAATTAACAATATACTTATACATATAGCCATTTAATTATTTTCATTCGCCTAATAACCACGAAAATAGAATCGTGTTTTATCATTTAAATTACTTGTGTCCGTAACTCCAGACTTATTTGCGTTGTAACAATTCAACTAATCTCCTCAAATAATTGCATGATGAAATTTGAGACAGAATAAAAATTCGTAAACTGTACCTACGCTGTGAACCAAATTAAATTTCTATAACTTTGAAAGCATCATTTGATAGCTTGGGTAATACCGCCAACGCATTTCCAATATTTAAGTCTTAACATCTCCTGAGCATTCAACCAATTTGAAAATTTGGTTGCACTTGAAAGAACATTTTACAAACCTCAAGTGGCTTCGATCAGTTTGTTCAAATCGAAATAATACCTGGATTGTTGTGATTTTTAGTTGAAGTGAAAGGGTAGGTACTATTTTCTCGACAGATCCTCAGCCGTCATTAAAAAACCGTCTTTATCAATTCAGGAGTCCTTGTCCCAGCCTCTGCCTCCCAATTTACTCTGGGGAAAATTATAAAGTTTCATTCTCTTCTCCGTGAATAATTATTTTATATTTTAACCGATTTTATGCATTATCGGTGCCATGATCAAGCAGGTATTTTTATAACAAAACCGTTTTATTTTGGCTCTAGGATGATGTAGGTACCTATATTTCTGGAAGTTTAGCTACCGAAAAACATATCAGCATAAATTTGAGTGAAACAAAGATTTCTTTTGCACCAACATTGAAATCAGCATATTATTAGAAAGTCATGTGATAGTCCGTCTCACAAGTACATAGCAGCCAACTAAACCTCCAAAAATAAATAAAATCGGTATAACTCTTGAAAAGCCATTAGCGATAAAAAAGTGTGTAACTTTATTTTGGCCTCGAGTTTAACCCACAGTGTATAAAAGCATTCTTATAAAGATAAACACTTTTAAACGTAACTAATTCCAAAGTTTTATTGATAACATAATATTATGTCTAATAAAATGTCAAAGGTTATCAACATATTTCAAATCAAACTTGGTAAAAGTTATAGGACCGTGATTGATGAGCAGTAAAAATTGTTATAATTTGGATGCATGTTTTTGTTAATCGTCGCAGCATTAATTTTATTCATTTGTCTTGTATAATTGACATGTATAGGTAATCAGTTCCATAGCAAATACCTCATTATTAAAATTTCATTAGAAAATCCGATATTATAGCATGATGGTAATAAATAATATAAGGATACGTACCTAATAATATTAATACTAATGGACTTCTCCTACCAGTTAAAAAAAAATATATATTTTCAAAGTTCAACATTGGCATCATAATATAATTAGTCGTATGAATAAAGTGTAGCAAATGCGTTTACTTTACCTCCGTCTCTTTTTGCTTCAATTAAGCTAAATATGTTTATCTCAGAAAACTTAAGCAAAAGCATATGCTCGTGTTTTATGAATATGACCCAATAAATGCTGTTGAATAATAACTATTACCCTTTTCTTGTGCCTTTTTTTTTTCATCTTTCTCTCCTCCTTCTTCTTGAACCTGTTATAATCCATCTTTGGACATAGGCCTCCTCCATTTTTTGCCAGTAAACTCTCATTTGAGCCACTGGTCTCCAATGTAATCCTGAAGTTAGTTTAAGGCCGTCGATTCATTTCATCTATGGACCATATATGTGGTCTGTCAATGCGAAAAACTGCCACTCGATACCCCAGGAGAAAGTTTGGCTCAGTTATAAATTTGTATGTTATAGCTTTGGATAGAGCCGCCACATCAACATACATAGAATCGGGTTTCATATGCATCTGATTACTGACATTTTATCGAAGCATTTTTGGTGTAGATCAACCTGCTCCTGGCCATCAATAATTCTGAATCAGACCCCAAAATATTCACAAGAAATAGCATTCCGCAGTCACAATCATAAATATTGGAAGACACTCCAGGGCCACAAAATACAATGAGCCTAATCATCATAATACACCCTAAGACAAGGAAATTTCATCATTTTCTCACCTGAAGTTGATCTTCCTGTCCGAAGGCGCCTCAAAAAAAAATGCAAATGTAGCTTGCAACAAAGTGCAAACCTATAATTGCTGCTGACATTCCTGTTAATGATGAGATTGAAGAATTACTTCCTGTCAAGTTTTATAATAGGAAGAGCTCACGATGAAAGTGTCGGAAACTAAGCAGCAAAAATTACCAAAAAAGAGAGGCACGGATGAATATGGAGAGAATTCTTTTAAATTTCAAGTTCCATTCCTGACATGACTCTCAAATTGCCAGATCCTATTAATTACGTCACAAATGTAACATTAGGCAAAATTGAGTGTTTTGATTTTTTGAAACTTTGTTTTCCTAATTTTTTTTTATTTTTTTTTTGTTCTTAATTTTTTTCTTTATCTTTTTGTGAGCTCTAGCTTATTATTACTTGACAAAATATAATAAATGATAACCTGATGACACAATTTTTCTTATTAAATTAGTTACATTTTCACTGAGGTCTATATAATCTCCCTTGCCTTGGTTTAAGGGGTTCCTCTGCTTGATGGGGATGTTAAAAACTTGCATGCTTTTTTTTTTAAACCTTAATCTCAAAATTAGATTTATGATTTCTTTTTTAATTTGGGGTGTCTATAGATAATATTTTGGTTTTCAATATAATGATGCTTTCGAAAACCGTGGAATATTCGTCCACTTATGGATACCAGCACATACAAGACCATAACGAAGAACGGCAATAGTGGCACGAAAATTGAGGAGATACAATATTGATATTGTAGCTCTAAGCGAAACCAGAAGAGCAGGCGAAGGTCAACTGAAGGACCACGGAGAAGGCTATACGCTTTTCTGGAATGGAGAGGAAGAGAATGAACATCGCATCCACGAAGTGGGTTTCGCCATAAAAAGTGAATTTATGGACCATCTTGCTGAGCGTCCATCCGGAATATGCGAAGGACTGATGACACTGCGACTAAACCAAACCAACAAGCTACGCTAATCAGCGCCCACGCTCCAACCCTCACAATTGACGATAACAAAAAAAAAATGTAAGAGTAATCAAATCAAAATTGACTGACGATGCTGGCAATTTCCTTATGTCCAGACCAAACTTGAAAACTTGGCCTGAAGTAAGAGATGCTCTAAGAATTAAATACGGAAATCCTTATTCAAAATAAAATTTAATTCAGGAATTAATTCATGCCAGCAAAAATTCCAAAGAAAATATTTCCAATTACCTTGAAAGACTCAAACTACTCGTGCATAGAATAGTCGCACAAAATGAGATTACTGCATTTCAGAATTTGATAACAAATTCACCAGTAGAATTGCGTACCGATTCGCAATCCTGAAACACTGGATGCAGCAACTACATTCGTTTTAAATTATCATTTGGCAGAAGATCATAAAAAGGTTAACACAAATATTATGAACAAGTCACATCATCAAACTAGTAATCATAATAGATATCAAAGTTAAGACATAACCAAACTACTCATCTCAACCCATCAAAGTTCAGACAAAACAAAAATACCAACAAAAATTTCCTAGTAGCTTTGGTACTTTTGGAAAGAACTTTTCCAAACAACAAAATGTGTTTGCTAAAAACAAACCAAATCAACAATTTTCCAAACCAACACCGATGTCTGCTGTATCAACCTCGTAGACAAATTTCTCAAGTGTATAGACCACAACAAAATCAAGCAGGTCCAT